ACGTGGTTTGGACTTTTCATGGATTGGGGTTATTTGAGATTATGATTTAAAATAACAAGCATACATTTGTAAATGGGAAGTACACTTATGCCAAAGCAAATTGCTCTCCCTAGTGGAGCATATTGTAATCCATTTGTAAATGTGAAATATACAGGAAAGGGGTTGAGTCATAGTGATAGCACCCATATCTTAGTCACCATGTTGTAGTTTTCAAAATATAAAAAATATAAAGATATTTTAAACTCTAATAATTACAAGGGATATTAGCCAAAATTTGCCTGGAATTTTAGGTGAAAATCACTATCGGAATAAAGATTATGAAATAATATTCATAATCCGGCATAAATCATCCAAAACAAATAAGGAAAAGTACGTGAAGAGCCCATGTACCTTTAATAAAAGGAAAAAGTTTTAAATAAATTTGCAACCTTAAAATGTAGAATTATTAAAATGTAGAATTAAGCTGCATCTTAAAAATCCATCATAAAAGGTTATTTTGATGTTAGAAAACTCTCTAATTAATCATCTCAATATAGATGTATGAATATGAAAAAGGAAAAAAGATTTTGAGTCTTAAAATAGTGTATCTTGCAATACATTATCTGGCCAGTTGATTTTCAAGATTTTCATGTATTTATAGATCTACTTGATTTGAAACATTTTTTAAGTTTAAAATTTTATAATTAGAGATAAAAATAGATTCTCGAGCCATTCTAAGTGTATTTGACATCAAAATTACATTTATAATAAAATTTAGACGTGCTTTAATTGTTTAAGGTTGCAACCTTATGCAAACCACAACCCAATGAAAAGAGGTCACAATTACCTTTTCATTAGAATTGGTATGTAACGGACCAAAGTGTACTATTATCCAGACTCAAAGTTTAAAAGCAATTCTTCCAAACATTTATGTCGTACTTAGACTTAACATTATTTGATGACGATCTTATTTATTTATTTATTTATTTATGATAATGCTAAAAATGAGGATAGAAGGTGGGAATATATTTATGTATTAAGGCATCAGCCCTCCTAACCACCAATGCCCCAACCGCATTCCCACCATGCTGAATTTCTATTATTCTTATTACAGCAAACTTTTTTGAAATCCATAAATAATGATCACATTCCACACACATTAGTGCTAAAAATTGCCACTCGACATTTGACTATCATGTTTTACATATTGAACAAGCCATCTGACCACTTCAAGTGCATTCGTTTGGAGCATGGATCAGCATGAGTTACATTAATTTTATTTTTAATATTTTTCTTATTTCCTATTGAACGTGAGGCATTAAAATATGTTGAAAATGAGCTCTCAAGTGAAACAAAAAAATATATTATTATCAGTTTGATGAAGTCCACTTCACACAAAAGGGAACAAGATTGTGAAAATATTAATTTTAAAATAGAAATAGCGTAGGAGCATGCATCAGCATTAGTTACATTAATTTTCGTTTATTTCCTAATGACCATGAGGCATTGAAATATGTTGAAAATGAGCTCTCAAGTGAAATAAAAAAGATATTATTATCAGTTTGATGAAGTCCATTTTTGCACCTCCACACAAAGGGAAAAAAGATTGAGAAAATATTAATTTTAAAATAGAAATATATTATGAGGCATGAGTTCCATTAATTTTCTTTTTAATATTTTTTCTTATTTCCTAATGACCATGAGGCATGGTAATAAGTTGAAAACGAGCTCTCAATTGAAATAAAAAAGATAGTATTATCAGTTTGATGAAGTCTACTGTTGCACCTCCCCACAAAGGGGAAAAAGATTGAGAAAATATTAATTTTAAAATAGAAATAGATTAGGAGCATGCATCAGCATGAGTTACATTAATTTTCTTTTAAATATTTTTTCTTATTTCCTATTGACCATGAGGCATTGAAATATGTTGAAAATGAGCTCTCAAGTGAAATAAAAAAGATATTATTATCAGTTTGATGAAGTCCATTTTTGCACCTCCACACAAAGGGGGAAAAGGTTGAAAAAATATTAATTTTAAAATATTTTTTCTTATTTCCTAATGACCATAAGGCATTGAAATATGTTGAAAATGAGCTCTCAAGTGAAATAAAAATGATATTATCATTAGTTTGATGAAGTCCAGTGTTGCATCTCTACACAAAGGGGAAAGAAACTGAGAAAAGAAATAATTTTAAAAAGGGAAATACATTAAAATTTTATTGAAAAAGTTCATATAAGGTTGAGGCCTTAAACCATCAAACTAAGGCGTACTTTAAAATTCACTAAATAAAAATGTTTTGATGCCCAAAAACTCTCAAATATGATCATCTTGATTTGAGATACATGGACTGAAAAAAATGGACTTTGAGTTGTAGAAATAATACATCATGTAATGCATTATGTAGACCATCAATCTTCAAGCGTTTCAAATATTTATAGATCTACTTGATCTTCACTATTTTTTAAGCTTTAAATTTTATAATTAGATATTCAAATAAATATTTAGGTCATCACAAAAATTTTCATACTGAAATAACATTTTTCGACATTATTTCAGCCTTATACAAACCACATCCAAAAGGGGTCAAAAGAGAAACTTCTCTAGGACTTGGCCTCCCAAAAATTGGGATGAATTATATTTAAAAATAAATAAGGGGGGAATAATAGGTTAAAAAATTAAAACAATGGGCCAGAAGAGAAATTCCTACATGACTTGGCCTCGTGACTCCCAACTGATAATCTAGACCCATTCACCAAAGACCATGTCAACCCTTCAAGTTTATATGGGTGCACGACTCTATGTTTGACCCTTTTAGGGTTTAGCTACTTCCACCATCGATTTGGGAAGGGACCTCAAATTTTCAGTTTTAGAAACTCTAGGGAAACGTTAACGTGTTTCTTTAAGACAAATCGAATCGAAACGGTTAGCTGGACATAGGTAGAAAACGGTTCAACTGGCCTAATCAAATCCAGGTCAGTTCAACCACTATAATCGAACAAGTTCAGAATGGAAAAAAAATGTTAAAAAATATACTAAAATCTAATAAAATATAAAAAAAAAAATTCAAATAATGATTAAACAAAGTATATCTAAATAAAATTCAAAAATTAATGAAAATTTAATTTTAAAGAATCGATTTGTGCTTAGGGTATTTTTGAAATTTTTTCAAAAAAAATAAGAAAATGTAAAAATAAATATTAATGGACGAAACAATATCCAATTTTTCATAATGATAAAAAACATTACAAATATCCCTTATTTTTTGGGATGTTATATTATTTTTTAAAAAAAATTAAAAATACCCTGTCGGTCACCAAATCCAGCCAAAACCGGAATATGCCATCTAATCGGGCGGTTGCCTGTATGATTGGTCGATTTTTTCAACAATGGTTTTGAGGTTGTCTACAAAGATAAATGGTCTCTTTGTAGACATAATCCCTTTAGTTTTAAGTGTTTGAAAAATCATGAGATCTGCACTGCAAATTCACATATTAAGCTAGAAATGGATTTAAATTGATTTGAAAGAGTAGATGCATGAGTTGGGAGACTCACCAACTACCTTTTATTTATTAAATTTTAAAGGACCAGGTTTCTATACGGCCAAGCCAGTGTATGTAGAAATGCAAGCCTCTTAATAAATCTATTTTTGAGATGGATTTTAAGACTCAATTATTAAAAACATGTAATCTCTATCATGGAGATCATGAATATGAAAAAATATATAAATTTTAAAAACCAAAAATAATAATGTTAGTAAAAATACATTTGGACCATTAGTTTCCATTGCTTTTAGATGGAACACCTACTTGCATTCATCTTTAAGATGGATGCTTTACACTTTCTTGACTGCATATGTAGAAATGAGTTCCAGCCTGCATGATACAATTTTCCCTTTGAAAAACCAGAATCTAAAAAATCCTTGATCCAAATCAAAGATTACCCGTCCAAATTGGGCCCAGTTTGGTTTCTAGACTGAACCGGCCCGTGGTACTATAATTTACATATGAAATGACTTGCTATATTTTTCTCATTAGATAGATATATCTTAAACTATAGGAAAACATAGGAAACAGTTATTTCCTTTTTTTTTTTTTTTTGTTCTGTCAGGTCACTATTTGGCCCAACCAAATCACCATCCCTATTAATCTCTTTTTCAAAACACCGATGTTCTTGTGGTTATATTTCTATGTTGGAAAAGGTTTGGAAACGAGCCGAATTTAGGGCTAGGCTGGGCTTGGGCCTGGTGCAAATACCTATAGGTTTAGCACTGGCCCTGTCTGGACCAAGTAGGGCTGGACAAATAAAAATTAAAATATAGAAAAACTATAGGGCCGGGTAGGCCATAACCAAGCTTGCCTTTGGCGAAATGGGAAAGGACCTTCAGGCTAGGGATGGGTCGGCGCAGGAAGTAAGGAGCAGGATGGGGGAATCAAAACCCTGTCTTTGAGGCCAGACCCTTGGACCGTGGTGGCTAAACCCTAGCTCAGCTCTCAGCCCCATTTTGTGGCCACCGCTCTATCAGGCCCACGCAGGGCCACCCGGCCCATTACCAGAGATTGTCATGTCACTTGCTTTGTAGTTTCCCACGTTTTCAATTACTCGCCCATGAATTCAACAAAAATCGCCGAGGATTTGGTTCATCTGCAACGCGGCTCCAGCGTTCCTCTTACTTCGACACCAAGGCACGAATTCGTCCGCGTCAAAAATAAAAAACGTAGAGTCACGATTATAAACTCCATTCATTTCAGAAATATCAAAACAGTCCATCATCGTTCTAATAAATCCAAATACTCTCCGCTTATTCGAAACGTGCCCGATTATGCCCCTAGAAAAGATTGGAATTTTTTCTTCTTTCTTTCTTAGTTTTCTTTTTATTTCATAATTTTTTTTCTAATTCGATTTTATTTTATTTTTGCATTTTCCACCAGTGATTATTAATACATAAAAACCAATTATTAATACATGAAAAAGCAGTGAGCTAAATTTCTTCCTTGAATAGTTGAGAAGGTTTTCCGTATTCTTTTTTTTTTTTGGTGATTTTCTACTAATCCGAGTAGCAATGAAAACAAAAACAAACCCTCAATGATACGAATTATTTCTACAATAATTACAAGGGTTTGGAAAATTGACAATCCAAATAAAAATAGGTTACAAGGGTTTGAAAATTTGCGAATCCAAATAGGTGATTAGGACTCAAATTATCCAGTTTTCCGGCATTTGCCCCAAATCACTCAAATTCTCCATTTTCCATGTGGCTCAGGAATCACCATAAGTAGAGCAGGCAAATTAGAATTAGACCATTTATTCAAGGGCCCAATTCAAACATGTGATTGTACCTCATCAACTTAGCGGCCGATCTCAGGAAAAAAAAAATTACACTCACCCTTTATATCTAAATAATAATAATATTCTAATCTTAAACCGACCATTATATTTTTAGGCGATCGGATCTAAGAATTCAAAAATGCCATATTAAATATTCCTTCTTTTATTGAAAATACTCATATGGTAGTTCTTATTTTAATCGGTGCAATTGGCATACGGATGCATCTGTAGCTGTAAAGGTAAAGTGCACCTTCAAATTTTATCATGGTATATAATTTTGATGTAAAATGTTCTTAAGATTATTTCAAAATCTATTTTTATATCTAATTATAAAATTTTAAATTACAAAAATGGTTAAAATCAAGTAGTGCTATAAACATATGAAAATCTTGAAAATGAACAGTGTAGATAATATGTTGTAAAATGCATTATTTCTGATACGTAAAGTCTTTTTATTTTTCATGTTCATACATCTCGACATCGAGATGATCAATCAAAGGATTTTTCAACGTATTAAAACTACCTTTTTTCGATGAATTTTTGAGGTGCATCCTTAGTTATACATTATAACGTTATTTTTTCCTATTTTAATGGGTAACCCATGCACAAAACTTTTCAGGGGCATAACCGGCAATTAATAATCTAATATAATAGGTGCATTATTCTAAAAAGAAATGGACGTTTTTGTCATTTTATCGTATTTTAAGGGTAAATTAGGCTAGGACCTCTTCCATATAAAATAAGCAACTAATCATATGGAAAAAGACTCTCAGGCGCCACCGTCTTTCCTCCTTTTAAAACCCCATCAAATTCTCTCTCCCTCTCAAAACATCTTACTGGAGAAGGTAGAAACAGAAACCTTCGGCTTAATTCAGGTAGTCCCCAGTCTTTTTCAGGCCAAAACAGGCAGACCCCAACAACTTTCTGCCAAAACAAGGTACACCCGAACGCTTTTCCGGCAGAAAATTAGACCCAAACAATTTCCCAGAAAAAAATTCAGTCCGAAACCTCAAGAAAATCTCAATACCCACAGAATTCCGGCCACCCATATTTTATAAACCTTCAAAAAATACAAATTTCACGATTTCCGGCCAAGCTGGCTAGAGGAATCCCAATTACTTCAAGAATTTGAAGCTTAAATGGAGCTCTTATGGAGCTGGACCTTTCTCCCTTTTTTTGTTTACATACTCAGGGTTATAAGAAAGCTTAGAAAAATGGCTGGAAACAGTTTTCTCTCTCTCAACCCAACCCAGAAGAGCTCTCTCTCTCCAACTCCTGTTTTCTCTTACAGGCCGGAAAAGAAGTCAGCAGACGAAATTTCAGCCGAAAAAATTATGGGTTTTGCAGGCGAGAGAGAGAAGACAGAGAAAATAAGTGCACCAAAAAAATTGAAGTTTTCAGGAGAGAGAGAGAAGAGAAGGCCTGCAAGGCTTTTGATACCTGAACAAAGTGTTTTGAGAGGAGGAGAGAGAGATTGGAAACATGAAAAAGTGAGGGAGAAGGATGTGGAGGTTGAGGGGTGTGGGTTTGGTTTGGTGAGCAGGAAAGGAAGGAGGCAAGTTTTGGAGGATGGCTACAAAGTTATTTGCAATATTTTTGGTGATCCCAAGCAGGTAACATATTTACTACTTTCTTTCTTCTTGCCCCCACAAAAGAATTATCATGTTAATTTATCTACTCTCTCTCATACACATGAAATCTCCCTTTTCTTTTTTTTTTTCCCTAAAATCTCTCTCTAAATTTATCTTTGGTTTGCATGAAAATAATTTCTAAAAAACAGCTTCACGTGAAATTGTTTTTTGGTTAAATGTGTGAATATTATCAATTGGACCAATTTGTATGAAAATATTCCCTAACGAGAGAATTTTTTAAAATATTTTCGAGAAAATATTTACCAATCGTGTGAAGGCCACAGTCTAATACACATGTGAAATCTCTTTCTCTCTCTCATACACACGTGAAATATCTTTCTCTGTAGCCTAATTAATACACATCTGAAATCTCTCTCTCTCTCTCTCTCTCTCTCTCATACACACATGAAATCTCTCTCTCATACACACGTGAAATTTCTCTCGCGCTCTCGTATACACACAAACACAAAATTTGGAGAAAGAAATCTCTCCCTCACCCACAAACACAAATACACAACTTCAAAAAAAGAAATCTCTTTCTCACACAGACACAAATAAACAGAGTACAATACGAAAGAAATCTCTCTCTCCATGCACACATACATACGTAGAAAGAGCATCTCACCTACATTGAAGAACAGAATGAGGTGCACCTCTCTTTCACCTTTCTTTCACTTTAAGTGAAGAACCAGATTCTCTCTCTTCTCTCTCTCATACCCACTCACAAATACACGTATAAACACATGCTTCACTTAGAATATAATATAAGGCAACCAGATTCTCTCTCATGCGTACACGCAAACACACGTATAAACACATGTTTCACTTAGAATATTATATAAGGCCTAGGCTCTACGTTAAAAAGAAGAGCAGGTCTCGAAACTCTATTGAAAAAAATGCAAACCTTTAAAATGATTCTCCTCGACAATTGTCGGTCGGTTCAAGATCGGCTAGTTAGATCGGGAATCGGGCATTAGCCGATTCCAGTTTTGACCGATGATCTGATCCTCCCACATCTATATGTGCTGGATCTAAAGGATTACCATTAAATTTAATACAAATCTTTAGAAAAGTTATCACATGGGTGTGGGACTTGACTTTTTTTAAAGATCGGTATCAAATTTAATGGTGATCCTTTAGGGTTCTACACACATGGGTGTGGGAGGATTTCATAAGATCATTATATATATATATATATATAATCCTAAAAAAATAAGAAATTTATTTGTAATGACGTTTTGAATGCTTTTTATCATTTTGGCAAAGATTGGAAAGTGTTTTGGTCATGAATACTATTTTTATATCTTTATAAATACCCCTGCCTTAAAATCTTTTTTTTCATTATTTTTAACTCCATTTGGATGTGTTTTGTTTAATTATACTTTAACTATATTTTTCATATTTTTTAAAAAAAATTGTATTTTTTATACTTTTTTGACAGGTCGGGACTTGCCCGGTTAAGCCTGTTACACAAGCTGATTTATCGGTTACTCGGAACCGGCCCTTGGCCGGTTTCCGAGATCAGTTCGATTTTTCGAACACTAATTTCCAACACCAATATTGCATTCGTAACTTTACTTTTTTATGTAAAGCCTATGGCTTGTCTAACTAGTTCTCTCTCTCTCTCTAAGACACACAAATATACACATATTCAAATATGAAAAAAATTTACATAAGGTTGCAACCTCATAATATAGAAGTAATTACACTTTAAAAGTTCAGTAGAAAACAGTGTGTTTCAAAGTTAGAAAACCCTCCAATTGATCATCTTGACGTCAAGATAGTATCAATATAAGAAAAAAGAAATTCAAATCTTAAAAATAGTATCTTATAACAAATTATCTGAAACGTCTATTTTCAAGATATTGAAGTGTTTATGATATTTTATATTTGTATTATTTTTTAAAATTTTAAATGCCATAATTAAGGCTAAAAATGTATTTATAAGTCTAAAGTTTTTGACACTGGAAGTACATATTCTGATAAAATTTAGATGTGCACCTCACTTGTTCTTCAGTATAAAGTGGGCACTTAACACGAACCTCATCCCGTGTGACTCTTTCTCATATATAACAAGCCCCTCTCGCTCTCCTGTATCCTCTCTTTTATGATGTGACAAAGTTTATGAGAGGTTTTTTTGTTGGGTTGTAACAAAACAGGCTTTATTTGGGGTATTTGATGGACATGGTGGACGTGAAGCTGTGGATTTTGTTGTGGAGAAACTTGCCCAAAACATAGTAAAGGCTCTTGGAAAGAGAGAGACTGCTCACAATTTACATGAGGAGGCTATTAGGGCCGGCTACTTAACTACCGACAAGGAATTCTTATCTAAGGTACTGATTTCCCCCAGCTCTTGACCTGTCATATAGATATATATATATATTTTTCAAGTGGTTTCAATATCGCCGGTTTATCTTGGAATCGATATTGGCTTGGGATAGGGATAAAGCTGGTCGAGCATAATGTGTGTTGGACATGCACATTGTTTAAAACGAAGCCAATCCGGCATATTGTGGATTAGTAAGTAGTTTTAAATGATGGGTCCGACACATAATGTGTCGGTCTGGTACACATTGTGGCGGACCGCATCATTTAGAAAAATGAGACGTGTGAGAGAAACATGCATTATAAAGGGACAATATTTTTGTGCTAAAAGGAGTTACTTTTTACTTAGAGGTGGGTGTAAAAATAAATAGTTTTGAGATAATGGTGTAATTTATAATGTCTATTTCTTATGAGGGTGCGGCACCACAATTCTTGAAAGTAAGGTCAATGGGAGGTACTTTATAATTTTCCTTTTATTCTATTAGGCTAGAGGGTTTATGCATAGGCATATGGGATTATATACAATTAGACTATTTGCCTTTATTACAAGGAGGTAAAAATCACTCATACTCGTTAGATGTCAAATTGGATGGATTGAACTAATCATGAAGTCTGAAAATTTTTATTTTTTAAACTTTGAGTCTTTTAATTGATACTCTTACAACCATCCAATTTGGAATCCAAGAGACAAAATTGATTGTGACATTCTTCTACAAAAAATGAATGGTCTCTTTACGTAATATTTCTATATGTCCTCTATAGTTTCCACATCTTTCTATCCTGGGTTAAAAAAACTCGGCAACTCGAGCTGGACTCACCCGAGTTACATTTAAATATGTAGGTGAATAGTTCATAATACAAATGAAGAAGCATCTTCATTTTAGTAACTCTCTCTCTCTCTCTCTTAATTTTGTTTAATTTTGAGTGTAGGGTGTGAGAAGTGGTGCTTGTGTAGCTACAGCCTTCCTCAGCAATGGTGAGCTCCATGTAGCGAATGCAGGGGATTGCAGAGTGGTTCTTAGCAGCAAAGGAACTGCATATCCTCTAACCAGTGATCACCGTGTAGAGAGAGAGGACGAACGTATTCGAATCGAGAATTCTGTAAGTCGAAATTTCGCTTCTTAAATCTCCTTTTCTTATTTCCTCAGGGTTTAAAATCTGGCTTTGACCTCTCCTTGATTTGAGCTTGAGAACTCACTTGTCTAACTCAAGCGAGTCCTGAGTCATACCGGTGAAATTTTACAAGGAAATTTTAAAAATAATTGAAAAACAGGAAACTCGGGTGATTCCAGGCTTTTTGAGCCATTAACAACCAGCCTCGCTATCGAGTCTGACTAGGAAGAGTCCCGAGTCAAACAGGCGATTTTCCTAAACGTTGTTTCGTGTTTCTCTTTAGTGATCTTTCTAACCTGTAAATTTTGAAGTACTTTGCAACATTGAGCGCAACAGTTTTCTGAATGGACACACAACGTTGTGAGATTAATTTTGGTCTTAGTTTTTAGCAGTGATATCAAGATCGACGCCAAAACGGTGAAGGCTTGATCCATTCAATCTGTTCAACCGACAATCGAATCAGAACCAAATTTAAAAAATAAAGGAAACTGGAAATAATAATTTTAAAAACATAAAATACGTGATAAGAACATTCTAACTATGTTCTGGTCAAAACCAACTAATTCAATTGGCAAAGTATTGGTTTGATCGGTTTTTAATCAAATTTGCATTTTGCTTTGAACATAACTGACAAAAGCACTGGTCGGCAGTCTAACCAGTCAAACTAGAAGCTCTGATCCAATCTTGATTACCATGATTTTTATAACTTCTTTTCCTTTTGATGAATCTTGATTAGAGAAATTTCACGATTTTGTTTTCCTTTAAAATGTTTCTTCTCTCCCATGAATATGAGGGTTGCTACTTCTAAAGCTATTGTGAGCTTTCATTGTATAAGACTATCTAGCACCTCGTGATCACCATTTATTGCTGTTCAATTTTGTCAATTACTTTTTTAACAGTTCATGATCATCATCGTCAAAGTTTTTTTTCAAATTGGGGTTGGCTGTATGAATCTTGGTTCCTCATTCTGTTATATTATGGGGTCATACTTTTAATGAGGTTATAAGTCTCATATAAATTCTCACTACTTCCAACCGTGTCTTTTGGGCCTACCTCTTATTTTTTTTTAGCTTTCTACTTGAACTAACCAGCACCTCCTAACTGGCGTTGTATTGGGTCTGTGCAGCACATAGCCAGCCCACCTAAATCTACTTTTTCTCATCCTATGACCTATTAGTATTACATATAAAATCTCTTAAATGTTTTTATTCCGAATTTTATCCTTTCTTTGGGAATTAGGTTGTACTTATTTTGTATTTGGGCTATAAAAAAAAGAAAGGAAAAGGGAATGTACACTACATAACCATTTGTCTCTGTCTTTGGTGCAAAGGTCACAATCATTTGTAGCCACTTGATGTGAAATCGGATGGTTAGAAATTGTTTTTTAGGGAGATTGTTCATTTCCGACATTTGGGTCCAAACTCTAGAGCGGAATTTTTTTTTCCCAGAAATCCTTTTCCTTATTTTGAGCCCAATACAAACAAGTTTATTTTTCTCTCTATCACTACCATACTTTCCTCTCTAGAGATTCATTGTATTTTACTCCTTTTCACGATGGAAATATATCTTCCAAAGTACATCCATCTGCTATCTAAATAGCAAAAATCTATTTTGCAGGAAGTATGTGTTTCAAGAAATATATTTCGTAAGAAATACTTTTCTCCAAACAATTTTTTTACAGGGATCCAAATGGGGCCTAAACATTGTCTTGTTGTATACTTTAGCAAAAGGAAAAATAAGTTTGTAAAATTTCATTGTCGGTAATACATAAATAACATAAATTACTTAATTAAATGGATTGCATTTCTTTCAAAATTGAGCTACATTTCTTTGAAAAGAGATTCCAAGAGTTTTTTATCATATTTTTTATTTTTTAACGTAATATTACATTTGTACGTTATATAATAGACAAACTCACATTTGTTTTTTTTAAAAAAAGGAGCTAAGCAAACACTAATAAATTTAATATACCGCGCTTCAGTCGTTCTATTTGAAACCCTAGAGCTTCTCACTGCACTACTTGTATGTTGTGAGACAGTTTTTTTTAGTCAATCTAAGTTTTAAAACTGGGCATGGTTGACGTGCTTTTGACTCGAGCCCAAAAAAGTGGCCGACTCGGTGCCAATTTAGTTAAGGAATATTAAGGCTGACAACAGGATTGGCCCTGGGTTGGGCGAGTTGTGGCCCTAGCCTGGTCATATTCCCTGGAGGACTGGCTTGGGCCTTGCCTTAAAGGAAAACAAAACAAAAAAGATGAAAAAAAATGAGGCATGGGCTGGCCGAATGGCGTAAGCCCAGCCCTAAGGCCAATTTTTATGGCACAGGCCCTAGCCTTTTAGGGCTGATCAACCAGGCTTAGAGGAATACATAATGTTTATGCAGTTTTTAGGATTGGGGTAAGGCTTACCTGATTTCTTGTGTTATGTAGACCCAACACCCTAACAGGGTTGAGTGACTTGGGTAGAGTCTAAACTGGATTCAATGATTTTTTAATTGGGAATGATTACTTTTTTGTGGGCTATTTATGTTTTATACATAGAAGTCACAATCATTCATTATATGTCAAATTGGATGGCTTGGGTGAGTTACGAAATCCAAGAATATAAAAGTTTAGAACTTTGTGTTTATTCAATAACACTTTTACAACTACCCATTTGGAAATTTAAGAGTCAATGATTATGACATCTATGTATAAAAGATAAATGGTCTCTAGACAATCCCTTTTTAATTACTAATCAAAGCCTTGGAGTTTATTTCTATTCTCTACAATTATGAGCATGCCCATTGCCCAACTAGGAAATTTTATTAACCTTTTTTTTCGGACAATATAGGAAAATTTATTAACTGCACTTTTGATCTGGTATAGGGGGGTTTTGTTGATTGCGTCAATGGAGTTTGGAGAATCCATGGCTCATTGGCAGTGTCTAGAGCAATTGGTGATACATATTTGAAAGAATGGGTGATTGCTAACCCTGAAATAAATAAGCTTAAACTCACACCAGATTGTGAGTTTTTGATTATTGCCTCTGATGGATTATGGGATAAGGTATGTACATGCCTTTTTTATTAATATTATTGAAATGGTCAAACTATCTCAGGATATCAACAAGGAGGGTAAATCAACAATTCTTTCAATCAAGTGATTACACTAAGAATTATTTTATTTATGACCTCGAGAATTTTGTTAAAACATATCTGGAGTGCTTTTGCTCTGATTGCAACCCTGACAAGCTAGGCATTTTTGCATTTTAACCCCTACTTCAGTCACTTGAGCCAAATGACTTAAATATATTTACATGTTAATAATAATCCAAAAACATGTTGTTTTTTAGAAAGTTATGTTCAGGGTTTGAAACCTTGAATAAATGGAGACATTTTGGTAATTTGTCTCACCTAACGTTTTACATGCTAAAAGACATAAACTATATTCTTGGTTGAAAACCTTGGAAAGAATTTCTTAAATGAAAAAATATTCTTCTTGGTTTAGAACAGGGAATTAGCCAGGGAGCCAGGGTATATAGTCATTTGGCTTCATCATCAAAATGCTTCCACTCGTTTAGGCAAAATTGGGAATTTTTTAATGAAATGGTTCTTGAGGTACCTAAGTAAATTGATTTTTTGAAAAATGACCACTTTGTTGTAACCACCTTATTGATATTTTCAGGTGGTCTGACCATCTTGTGGTATTTCCCTTTTTATTTCATGAATTAATAATTTGCTTTTCTAGTTGCTAAACAGTCAACAGACAGAAAGTGCCTAATTTACCAAAATATTGAAAATAATCTTTTTTTCTACTGAAAAATTGGAGCATTCACGGTGCTTAGGAATGGCCAATTAACCAATGAGAACCTAAGGTTAAGTTACTCCATCAAGCTACCTTTGGTCATTCTCTAAAGCGCAAAGAGGAGAATTCTGAATTTCATAGAAATATGAGGCCATTTTGAATATTTGGGTTAAAAAAAACAGATCCATATTTTGGGAAATTTGAATAATCCCTTGGGATTAGTGTATTAAATGTGATTATTTGGGATATTAGGTAACCAATCAAGAGGCAGTTGATCCCTTGGGATTAGTGTATTAAATGTGATTATTTGGGATATTAGGTAACCAATCAAGAGGCAGTTGACATGGTTTCAACAAACAAGAAATCAGTTACTGGTTGCAAGAAGCTTGTGGATATCTCTTCAAGTAGAGGATGCAAGGATGACATTACAATAATGGTTGTTGACCTTAAAAGCTACATTTAATTACCATTTGAAGGTTTGTGTCATGTGCAAATTTGGAGGCACTAAAACACGAGGTGCTTCGTAAAGCTCAAGGATCTTGAAAAGCAATTCCATTCTAATTTTTGTACTTTTATCAATGTTCTTCATGCCAAAATAGAGGTTTTTCCACAATAATTAATTTGACATTCAATTACTACTCATCAAGTTATGTTGATAGAAGGGATAAGTGGAAAGAAAGTTTCCCTAGTGAATTTATTTAGGCCTTGTTTGGGGAATCTTTTTGTTTGGATGTAGCAAACTACATAATTATATTTACTTTTACATCTTTTTGTTTGGATGTAGCAATAGAACTGAATTATATTTACTTTTAAATCGGTGGCTAACAAGCGTGGTACGTTAGCAACTGTATTTTTGTATATTTGAATCTTAGGCTCCTATGGAAGATTATTTCAGAATACTGCAGAGATCTCTCTCTTTTTTTATTGATTCATAAAGAATATACAAGACCGGTATAAATATAGACTAGTAACAATTAAAGATAAATACCAACGGTTATGGATAATTACTAACTAATCTTATCATAATCAATAGACATCTAAGATATATATACTGATGCATAAACATATCTCATTATGTATTCATAATGATGTATATCAATATAGATATACATACTCTAATATGATACACTACCATTCATGGCACAACTTAGCGAATGGAATCCCCTTTACTAGCAAACTACCTCTTATAAGCCCTACTATGACATTATGGACGGGCAGAAAACCATATGTTTCTTCTATATTCCCAAAACATGGATATTGTTCAAGATCATCCAAGATTACACACATTGTCTCTCTCTCCATCCAAGATCTCTCTCTATATATGAATATATGAAAAAAGTTTATGTAAGGTTACAACTTTACTTGTAGAAATAAAGTTGCAGTAATCTATACCTTCTATTTTATTTGAACAGTGTAGGGTATCATAACTTTATTTCTACGAATTGGATTGCAACCTTATATAAATAGCACAATATATATATATATATATATATATATATATATAGAGAGAGAGGTTTTTCTAGAATTCACCATTCTAATGGTGATTTTAGAATACTCTACTCTAAAATTCTCGACAATATGTTACCCCTATATTGTTTCAAATTACACGAGTTTCCTTATTCAAATCAAATTTTTGAAGGGCATTAGCACTAATTGTAAATGATGCTCAAATTTCAAAATCAAAATGTCAAATTTGAAATACAAGTGAAGCCCACATTCAAAATTCAAAACCAAATTTAAATTTCAAATCTCAAAGCCCAACTCTCTCTCTAAACAAGGAAAGTCTCTCTCTCCAAACCAAGATCGTACCCTACTCTCTCTCTCTAAACAAATTTGGATCAGCGTGGAGTCTCATTCTCTCTCAACCAAGATCGTGCCTCACCCTCTTCCTGTATTAACATCAGTCAAGATCCGTGCCCCTCCTTCTCTCTCGCTTTGTGCAATCAAAATATAAAACAACTGAGAATTGACATTATCGTGATGGATTCGATTGTAGCTGGTTTCCTTCAGTAGTAGTGGGCGAGTATAGGACTTTACTGGTTGGTTTGGTAATTTGAGAGAGTAATCAACAAGGGTTCGTTTCAACATCAACGTTAGAGGAGAGAGAGATAGAGGAAAGACTAGGTACCTTGGGAGCAGAGGAGAGAGAGATATTGACATGCAAAATTAGCAGGATTTTTTTATCACAAAAAGTGAGCTACAAATCTTTCCAAAATGGATTAATATGATCGAACAACATTATTCAATTGTTTAATCAACATGTTACTGCATAAGCATGATGAATTTAGAGTAAATCATGATCAAATCACAAAAAAGACTTGATGATGTTGCTGAAAAATCAGCAGCATGTTTGATCGAATTTGATCATTATAAAATCAACTCAAACTCTTTCGAAATGACCAAATAGATCTTGAGAATATCAACCAATGAATTATGAACAAGAACACCTTAAACACGATATCTTCATGTACAAATTTAATCAAACTACAGAATTTTGTTCTTGTTTTCTTTGCTGCAAAAACAATAGAGAATATTAGTAAGAGAAATGTGAGGGAATTGGTATGAGAAGATGAGAATGGATGGAGTTGAATGGGGCATGGAGAAGGGGTGTTGAGGAGAAGAGGTGGGACATGAAAACAGGTTTGGTGGAGAGAAAAAAATAGAAAAATAATTACCATAACGTCAAAATTCAAAATTTTAAAAAATTTGGAGAGTAATTTTAAAGGAAAATATCTCTTATTTTTAAGTTCCATTTCACAAAAGATCCAAAGTTTTAAAAGATATCTTAGAGCATGAAAATTGTAGATTTTATTTTTCTAAACCCTGCACTAATTTATATCTATTTTTTTAGGCCAAACAAATCTAAAAAGACATATATTTTTAAAAGCCATCCTCTCAAACTTCTAGAGAGAGAAGGGTTTCATGGTGGTGATAGGTTACTCGGAGGAGAGAGATATATGTTTAGAGAAACACAGGAGGAAAGAGAAAATGAGAGAGAAGGGCTTTATGGAGGGGATAGGTTACTGGGCGGAGAGAGAGAGAGGAGTTAAGAGAAACATGAGAGAATAGCATGTCTTTCTCACATTTGTTTAAGTTAAAAAATAGGTTTAAAGTGGTCAGGGGATTAGAAGATATCTTTTGAAAACTTGGGTTTATCAAGAAATGAAACCTAAAAATATATGATATGGAGATATTTTCCTTAATTTTGATAAATAAAAGGACAATCTACTCCCCTAAGTCTGAGAGTAGAGTTTTTTAAAATCATCATTAGTGTAGTGCATTCTAGAATGGTCGAGATTGAATCTAATCCAAACAAAATATTAAATATATAATTTATAAAAATAAATATATTAACCAAATACCTTTAAAAGTTACATGTATATTTTGGTCTATTTATTTTGCGAGTAAATTTTTTTATATTTTTATTAGGTGTGTGATGATGTGAAGAGTAGATAGTTTAAATTTTAAGTAATTTAGATTTATAAAAACAAAATGATTAAAATTCAAATACGAAATACACTTATAACCATCAGATCGGCCCAGATTCGATCTGGGCCGTTGGGCTTATACTATTTCATCAGCGATGGGTGGATATGATGTCACACCCCTCAAATTAACCAAAAATACCTTTACAAAAAAAAATGCTCCATGTATAAAACAAAAGTATGTAAGCGTCCAAATTTGTTGAGTACAATTGTAAAATTCTCCATAGCACCCAAATATGGCAGTGATTTCATGCAACTGTTTTTTTTTTTGGGTAATTTTAAAAGGATAAGTCAATGGGGATTTGGGCCCAATGCAAAAATCTTCAAACCCATGTTAGGGCCATTTGTTTGATCCAAATTTTAAAATATATACTCTTTTCATTCTAATGAACAATCATAAAAAAGAAACATTTGATAACGCAAATTTAAAAGTATTTTTTTTATTTTTTTAGCCCCAATTAACATAGGTCATCCATTTTGATAGGATGCCTAGATCTATGCCGTAAAAGGATTTTTTTTTTAAAATTTTTTTTTAAATGGCTTTATTATCATTAGATGAACAATGTTAAAAAAGAAAAAAAATGAGTTTGAGTTTGTAAAGGCTAAGATCTGGAACTTCACCAAATGAATGATCTAGATTAATTGTTGGAGGGGACTCATTTTGACCATATCTAGGGTGGTTCAAATTGAATTTTTTTTTTGGGAGGATTGATTATTGAAATGAAGAGAGTGCATGTGCAAAATTTTAAGCCATACAGATATCACGAACATGGTTTTCTAGAAGTGTGGTTGCATTATACTAT